AAGCTCCGGCAGTTTGAAATGATAAAAATGATTTCTTTTTCATAGCCTATGAAAGATAAAATCACATCCAATTCGTCGATGGTTAACGTAACGCGGATGTCTTACGTTCTAAAGACGATAAGGTTCGCGTTCAACTTTGCGAAAATTGAGTTACACACTTCGGAAATGATAAAAGGATTCTATGGTCGAAGTTTTATCATAGTAAGAGGTTAAGATCGTACTCGAAACTTCGAAGATTGATATAGAGGTATTGGAACCGATAGAAAAATGATTAAATACTGCTATTAACACATCGTACAATTTATGGTACTTACGAAGAATTTGATGTAACTCTACCATAGATATATTTACCATAATCGAATCACGCGAAATAAAAATGCATCTCGTCGATTAGATAAGACAGAAATTAGATGAAAAATTATTTCTTCTTTTAACGATAATAAATCGAAACTAGTGCTATTACTATTGCTATGCTAGTATTATTACACTGTGCTTGCATCTTCATTGCTCTGCGTTTCGTTCATCCATTTCTGCTGTAAATGCTTCTAATTCGCAAACCAATAATCACATTACACCGTCACGGGTCAGCGAGCAGACGCAATTCGCAAAAATCACCGACATCTGTGCCATTGTTTCTGCTTAATTGCAAATGAAATAAAAGCGCGGAGAGATTTCAAAAAAAAAAAGAAAAAAAAGAAAAAACGATAAAAAGGAAAAAGACTGGTCGGTTTCATGAACGGATAATTAAAGGAACTTTTCACGAACCAATTCATGACTTATTCTGCGTGTAGCATGAACGAGGAGCGAAATGCGAGAAGACCAACGAGAAATTCGCAGCGGCGGCGGCGGCGGCGGCGAGCGCGATACTTCCGTCCGATAGCTCCGCAGCTCGCAGCTGCAGTTAAATCGCTCTTCCGCGTCGCAGTTTTGTAAACGCAATCGCGGAGAATTTAAATGCACCGGCGGCTGCGGGGGTGGAGAAATCCGGCAGCCGCGGAAAGGCAACGCTGCCGGCCTTGTTGCGCGCTCTTTGCATTCCTTTTACGTCCCATAAATTCCGCGCCGACCGGATCAGTAGTTCGTTATCGCGATCCATGTTTCTGCTGCGCTTGCACCGAGCTGCAACATCGTGCACTATTACCGGCGAGCCGTATCGCGACGCGATTAATTAATATATTATACGAGTTCATAGAATAACCTGCATTAGAGCTTCTTCTCTTCCAGCGCACGAGGTATTGCGGCTGTAATGTCTTCATCCGTGATGCGAGAATATTCTGTTGATGAAAAAGTTCAGCGGAAAGATCGCAATGGTTTTATTAAACCTTTTTTTGTTGTAGCGTGCAATGGAATGAGATGGAATTTAACCGAAGTTATTTTCATAGAATTAGATTGAGAAACAATTTTTCAAGGACCGTTGTTTCGAGAATCATTGTTTTACGACTAAATTGTGGATTAACTCTTTGCACTCGAGTGCTGACTCTGAGGCAACACTTAAATTATTGTATCACGTTCCAAGATAATTTTTACATTAACGAAGTTTACATTTAAAACATTGTTAAAAGTGTAACTGTTGTACGAGTCATCGGAAGACTCGATTTCATACGCATAAAATGCACTTTGTTATATAAAATGTAAATACTGTAAGTCAGAAAAATTATTTTAGGTTTGCGATTCAAATAGCTTCGACTGCAAAGGGTTAACATGCAATTGTTATACCTTTATTTTAAGAGCGATATTCCCTTCACGATTTTAATTCGTTAGAAAGACGTGCATAAATATGTTTTAACGAATCCTGACGTTTCTACTGCTTTCAATTGCACGCAGTCATTGTCTTCACAAATGCAGAAAATGCACAATTCACTGAAACATGGAGGAATACGTGCATTTGCACGAAAATGGATAAGCCTGCAACACAAGTGTAAACTAAAATAATAAAAAACAAAAGAAAATTACCTAAAATATTTTCAATTATTCTAATTAAAATCGTAAGAAGAGAATTAAAATTACCTAAAATATTTTTACAAAAATGACTATCTAAAAGATTGGCCGGTAAGCTGGCATATTTTGGTGCAATACCTGCGGGAACAATTTTGTTGGTCGACGAAGCGGATACGTTTCGCGGCGACGGTTAACGGTCAGCGTTTTCGGAAACGTCGACGGCCGGGCACAGAAGAAATTGGAATGTAAATCGATACGGCCTGTTAATTGTCCCGTAATTCGTCCCCTTAGCTCGGTCCCTGACGGACGATGCACTGCTTCATATGCATTTTGGATTTGCATGTCCGCGCGGCGCGGGCCTCTGTGGCCGCGATTTGAAATTTAAATCGAAAATAAACTAATGGCGGTGGTGGCGTGGCGTGGCGGGCGGCCTCCCGCCGGCAAATTTCGACTTTAATTAAATTATTCATAGGAGAAGACTGACAACCTGAGCGGGTGTAATCCCTTATTCAGGTTTAATTCCCCGAGGAATTCGTAATTATCCTTTGTCCCTGCATCGCGGGGATGATTCACGCGTTCTATTCATCTTCGCCGCGGCGAGGCCTGGTAATCGCGTCCGGGCATTAACGGAACGACAAATATTTTCGTAACGCGGCCCACGGCAGCCGATCGTTTGTTTCGCCGACGAATTATACAGAGGATCCGTTGATCCGCCAACTTGCGGAGCCCGGCGAATTTGTATCGTTCCCACGCGGAAATAACTTCGGAAAGTCTGCCGTCGCGAACGGTGCCGGTCGCGGTCGTCGATCATAATTGCGTGATCGAACTTTTTTTATCTTTCGATCACTTTAACTTGGCGGTTTGACAACGCGCGTAGATATATTTATGCTTCGCACAGTAACGTCTCCCTAACTGGCGCTCAGATTGTGCACAAGAATGGACAATTTGGAAAGAGGAGATACGATTATTCGAGCGTTGCGGCTCGTTTTTATAATTGTTGACAATTCGTAACTGTAAAAACGGACCGCAAGGATCGAACAATGATATCTCCTCTCCCCAAATTGTCCATTTTTGTGGACAATCCGAGCGTCAATTAGAGAGACATTACTGTATACAGGGTGTCCCAAAAATGTCTCGCAATCCGAAAGTGGCGGGTTGCACTCGCAATGCAGATAAAATATTGTCTAAACTCGCTGCAAGCTTTTCATTCGTTGCACCAATTTTCCCAGCGGTCCGGCATTTTTCTAACAAATCCGCGGCTCGTTCGACTAATTTTTCCGAAGATCCATTATTCGTTACATCGAAGACTCGAGCACATTTTGTAATTAGGTCGAGGATCTCCGCGCAAATTTCCGCTTTCGTCGATTATTTTGTACGTGCTAGGATAACGAGGAAATTTATTTTGCTATTTAAACGATTCTGTAGGATTTATCCGATTCACGATTTGGCAAAATTTGTCAAAATTTGGCAAAATTTGGCATGTCGCCGTAAATGCATGGGCATCTGCGGGCTGTTTGTAATGAACGCGGACGATTCAGGGGAAGATCAGCGGTTCATCGAGGGAAATGAATCGAGACCGGAGAAGGTGAAAGAAACGAAGCGTCGCGAGCAAATTGCCATGATATTTCGCCAAGAACCGTCCTTAACCTTTTTCCCCGCGGATGGAGCTCTAATCAAAAATCAATATTAATCGGTCTATATAGTGGAGGGGTTTCGACCAGCTCACCTGGAATCCGAACAATAACGTTTCTTCCAGACTCCGATTCCCCATTACCGTGTTTAACTTGCCGGTTCGGAAAGTCAGATTGAATTTTCACCGTTGTCTGTTATTCTTTGGCTCACTTCTACTTTTTCTCTGTCTGTCTGACTCTCTCTCTCTCTCTCTCTCTCTCTCTCTCTCTCTCTCTCTCTCTCTTTCTTTCCCACCAGCCAAGTCTTCGAACATTTAACTCTCCGGAAACAGTTTCCTGATTCCTCCGCCGATTGCTCGCTAATTGGCAAAACTCCGACCCTTTTTGTCTCGTTTATTCAATCGTCGACGAAATACCGTCCGTCTTGCTATTCATTCCACCATTGATTACCTGGTTTTTGTCCTTTGACAATGAGATCCGAGGTGGATGCCTCTGAATCAGCCGATGTGAACAAAGCGAGGACGAAAAAATGATTTTTAAAAGGAGAAGCGTCCGTGTTGCAACAAAGAGAATTTTATAATTACAGACGAATAATAAAATCTGTTACGAGCGTGAATTAATGGAACGAAAATCGTACGTAAACTTTGGAAGATGATGCTCGCGTATGCAGTGTGTCCCAAAATTATTATACAAGCGGGAAATGATGGGTTCCCAAGGTCATTTGAAGTAACTTCTTCCTCAGCGAAAATGCAATACGAGGCTTCGTTTACGAGTTATTAACGAAAAACAGTGGCCAATGAGAGACGAGATTAGTTGGCGCGAGGCTGCCGAGCCAATGAGCGGAACTGGGCTTCGACCGCTGGTTGGCTCGGCCGCCTAGCGCTAGGCGAGCTCGCCTCTCATTGGTCACTAATTTTTCGTTGATAACTCGTTAACGATGCCTTGGAGAAAATTTTTGTAAAGGAAAAAGTTGCTTCAAATTACCTTAGGAATCACTCCTTCCCGAATGTTAGCATAATTATGGGACACATATATGTACATATTGATAGAATATACTTGTGATAGAAAGATGACAAAAGATGAATATATTTATCAAATGTAGGACATATTTCCGGAAGTATTTATGAAACGGAGGATATATTTAGAAATATGTTGCTTAAAATGTAGAACACATTTAGCAAAATTTCGATTAAAATATAGAATGTATTTATGAATACACGAATATCAAACATAAAACATACATCCACACGTAAAATGTACAGAACCACGTGGACCACATTTATAAATAGTATATCAAGCGTGTAACGCATAGGCGAATGGAGCAAAGAGTCGAGAAAGAGATTGCAGAACAATGGGATAATATTTCTTTTTCTACGCGAGTAATTGCACCCGACGGGGTTGATTAATTAGCCAATCCGGGGATTGTTGCAGGTGAGGAACTGTGGATTGCTGGTGTTGGACCTCGGCCCCAGGAGTGGCCCGGGGGTTACCCTGGGGACCTCGGGGAAGTACTAGCGCAAGGACGAAGCTGTTAGGAACGACGAAGGACACGGGGGGCGGAGGAGGAGACCGCTATGAACGCCAGCGTCAACATCGAGAGGAACTCTTGGCGGCTGCCTCCCGACGAGACCGTCCAGGTCGCCGATCCCCGTTCAAAGTCAGCCCAGGTAAAAGAGGTAAATCGCTCCAGCAGAGGACCGTCGTCCTGCGTGCTCCCAAATAAACTCTCTCGAACGTGTCGCGTCGCGCCGCGTCGAGATCGTTCGTTGACCTGGACCTCTCTCTCTCTCTCTCTCTCTCTCTCTCTCTCTCTCTCTCTCTCTCTCTCTGGCCCGGGTTTTCTATCAGGTTTCGAAGCATGAGTCTGTTGTGTGCCCCACTACACCCTTCGTCGAACCCACCCAACCACCCACCCACCCCGCCTATCCCACGTTTTTACTCCCCCGCCCTTCTTTCCGTTATCGGATCACTGTACCGTGCACAGCGGGCGAGGGTTGCTCTCCGACGAAAATGAAATGGATCTGGCTGTTTGACCGAAACTCTCCGGATTAGAATATATCCGGTTGTACGTCATACTTCACAGTTCAGGACAAGAAAGGTCGCAGCTCGATCGGACGGTTGGATTTCGAGATAAAAATTCGCGAGTGACACCTCTCGAAATGATGTTTCCGCGAGGACAGATCGACATCGCGAAGTTGGAATATTTGTATTTTGGAAATGTGATGATTATATTTTAGTCGGATATTTTATTCGTATTTTATTCGTCATAAATTATTCTGTCTAATTATTCGGATCAGTAGTTCGTAATCAACTGAATCTAAGGCGAATCATATATAAAACAGT